GACTCACCCACTTCCGCAGACCGTGTGATGTTGCCGTTCACCCACTGGTATTTCTTTGCTTTATATTAACTAATTAAGCTGACTGTTTAATGCGATTAGAGTCGATCTAATAATGATAACTTATCTCCATATAAAAACAGCTCAACTGATTGAATCATAGTCGAGATATATGGGGTGTAATATATATGCTGGTTCACTAGCTCAACCAGCTCTACTAACTAGCAAGAAATTTAAGTTGCTCATGAAATCTCATGCTGGAGATGCTGACGCCCTGTTTACATTATGTTGACTACTTTTTAGTACAGTTCCAGTACACTAGAGCTAGCAAACCAGCACAGATGTTAACACCACACAACAATTTTGGTTTTATGAGGGTTCTATAGACCATGCATTGGACATGTAAAACGCTTTAAAACCTTGATAAAACATGCAATGTTACTTGAGTATCCTGCATGCAACAAGCATGTCTTCTGAAAATTTCGATTCAATCGAAAACACTCGGCTCCGGTGTTTACCGAAGTCAGAAATACACGGCTTCGGTACACTGGTGCAACAAATTATAAAAACTGCCACCCGTTCAGCAAAAATGGTTCGGTGTTTTTACCATGGCTGCCATCTTATATGAAAATTATGATATACACTATCAAGAGTTAAGTTATCCAAAAGGTCTTCAACTTGTATTCCTGAGCGGCGCCGGTAGTGTAGTGGTAAGCGTGATTATCTCTCACCCCAGCAGGCCTGGGTTCAATCCCAGTTGGCGCCGCCGGGATGTTCTGAGGCATAACATCCCTCATCACGCCTTCCTTCGGAAGGGAAGTAAAGCCGTTGGTCCCCGGTTCATGAGTTGATGGGTCGATAGGTAGGGTCCAGGTGTGGGAGTGTCTTTCCTGGCATCGGTAGCATTGGTGCTCTGTACGGACAATAAGATCGACGGAAAACAAATCAAGAAAAAAAAAACTTCAATTTAATATACTTTGCATAACATTTGCCGTAGCAAAAATCCATCGAAATTTCGCAGCTCTTTTTATAAAGCCCAAATTCCTGTTACCTTTGGCAGTAATGCTCGACTAATGATCTCTGAATGAAAGCTTTGATAACTTCAAGATCCTTCACCACACTAATTCTCTCGATCGTGGAACCGCATATCTCATAAATCCAGTGAATTTGGAAATATCTTTCGAGTAAAGGAGATGACACTACACTTTTGTACGCTGATTGTCAGTTGATTCACAAAACATCAGCTTAATTAACGTCTGTAGTTCCCGGCAATCCCTAATGGACTTGGCGATAATAAAGATCTTAATGTCGTCAACATATACAATTCTACACCCCGGTGTCTACTCTTACACAAACATCGTTGAAAAATATTGAGAACAGTAATGGTCCTTGATTAGTTCATTGGGGAACGCCTGAACTGTTAGAGAAGATGTAGGACTGCGATGATCCAAGCTTGACAGTGAGTCGTCTGTTCACCAAATAAGATTCCAGCCAGTGAAGCAGCTCCTGGTCGACTGATCTTTGTTTTCCCTCTGTTCGGGACCTAACACCACAGTGACCAGTAATTGGATCTATTGTAGTACATCCCGTGTCCTGTATTACTCCATCACTATTGAGAAATGATGAAGTATTTGATTGTTGTCATTCTTGCATTTACACACCGATAATGTCCATGCATTAGAACCCTAGTCTTAACCACTTCAAACTAGGGAACAACAAATAGAAGATTAGGAATCGCATAGATGAAGACTAACTAACTCATTTTTTCCTTGTTTCAAGATCCTCCTCTGTGGATAAAGCCGAGTCTTATCAATATCAACAAGGCATAACAAGTATCAAGTACTAAGATGTGTTCTTTTGATTACTGAAAAATCCTGTTCCCCTAGTTTGAAGTAGTCAGGACTAGGAATCTGTGGTAGATCTTACATCCAGTACCGTACCACGAAAAGGTGATCTACCCACGTTACGGGGCAACGACTGATCTTAGCCAGCAGTAGATAATGATCTACACAGTCAAAAGCTACTTTGAGGTTTGTGTAGACTGTGTCAGTGAGTCAGAGTGAATGAATTCCTGCCTCAAGTGGAAGACCCGAAGAGAACATACCGACACACAACACGAAAACAACAATTCAACTGATACTCTAGAAGTCTTTAGATCCCTAGAGAAGCAAGAAAGATCATCAAAGGAGTACACAATATGGACAAAATATGCAAGAGCTCTTAACGTAAATCTTTCGTAGCTTATCAGTAGTTTACTTAAGATAAGAGATTTCGAGTTTTTATCTTCGTCGTATTTATTGAACCGATGACTGAATCAAGGTGCATTTTAAATTTTTCATTCTGGATCACCGTTGAATTGCGGAGTTTTACAATCAGCTTTCACCTTTTTTAAAATGAAGATCAAATTTTCGCGAAAAGATGGATAAAAAATCTGCATCTCGAGATTTGAAAACAAATAGCTCATCAGCAAGTGGCTTCCCGAAGGTCAAACTCCTGGATATCAGGCTTCCAACGTTCAGCGGGAACATTTGAGAATGGGTCCCCTTCCCAGGCATGGAAAATCATTTGCATTCATTTCATACATTCATTTACATTCATTTGCCTCCAACTTTTTTCATCAACAGTATTCCGCAAAATGATGTATAAAGCTTTTGTAGGTTTTGTTATTAGCTACAAGTTTTGCTCATAACTCAAATATGTATCTCTTAGGCATCACGAACTAGAGCGGGCAGAAGTTGTTACTGTTTTTCAGTTAATGTAAAATAGATTCACTGAAAAACAGTAGTGGCTTCTGTTCGCTCTGCTTCGTCATGCATAAGAGATACGGATTTGACTTGTTAACAAAAATTGTAGTTAATAATAAAACCTACAAATGCTTTATACATCATTTTGCTAAGTGCTGTTGAAAAAAAAAGTTAAAGGCAAATGAATGTAAATGAATACACGAAATGAATGCAAATGATTTTCCATGCCTGCACCTTCCGTGATAGTTTTCGTAGCCTCATCGATTCCAACACCCAGCTGTTGGAGATGCATAAATTTAGCTATCTGCGATCATCTTTGTCTTGTGATGCACTGCAGGCGATAAGTTTAGTGGAGCTTTCTGCCGCTAATTACAGTGTAGTATGGGATGCGTTGTTAACCCGCTACGAGAACAAAAAGCTAATAGTGAAAACCTACCTCGAAGCACTTTTCGCTGTAGAAGGACTGAGGAAGGAGAGCTACAGTGGATTCAATCACCTCATTAGTGAATTTGAGAAGAATCTTCAAATGTTGAAGAAAATTGGCAAAAACACAGCGGATTGGAGTACAATATTGGCGCACATGGTATGCAGTCGCCTGAATGCTGCTACCTTGAGAATTTGGGAGACTCATCATAACTCCAATGAAGTCCCGATTTATAAGAACCTCGTCGATTTTCTACGGAGTCATTGTTCCGTGCTCCGGTCAGTAGCTCCAACGAAATACAATCGCGAAGATCATCGATCATCGAAGCCAGCAGTATGCCACGCTACCATCAAATCAATTGGAAGATGGCCTTCTGCAATGAGACATGGCATTCTGCATTTCATGCGGATGAAGGTTGCTGAGAGGAATGCAGCCGTCATGAAAGGAAAGCTGTGCCGGAATTGCCTCAATCTTGGGCATTACGTGGGGACCGGTGAGCGAGGAGTATGTTGCCATTGCCACCAAAAGCATCATTCTATGTTGCATAGTGGAGCAACACGATTCTCCGTTCCAAACTCGCAGTCAATAGCTTCGATGCAATCCCGACAGCAGCAACAATCACAAGTCAGATCAGCACAACCGAACCAACAGACACACATTTCCAACACTGCCACCGCTGCTAACTCGCACACACAATCAGCAACAGAACAAGCCAACATTAGCCAAAACTTCGTTGCACTTCCCATCACTCCTACACAAAACATACTCCTATCAACAGCACTTATCATAATCCAGGATCGATTTGCGAATTCGATGCTGGCACGAGCATTATTGTTCATTATGTTATCAGCATTGTATGATAACCAAGGGCTTCTCGAACAAGTTAAAGTTCCAAGAAAGTCCATCATACCTGTCGGTACAAGGCATTGGACCCTCCCAATCGATTTCTACCAAAATAGCTACAGCTCTAGTAGGTCCTCAATTCAACCATGCCTTGCCGTATGTTGAAGAGATGCAGTTTCATGTCTTGCCGAAGCTGACTGTATCCTTACCCACTGCTGCCATCGATCCATCAAAATGGAATCTTCCTCAATCAATGTTCCTTGCTGATCCACATTTCTACGAGCCAGGTCCAATTGACTTAATCATAGGAGCGGAATACTATATGGACCTGCTGTGTAACGAGCGGCAAAAGGGATCATATTTTTGAATGAAGCTCAAGTTTGGAATGAATCAAAAAATAATAGCAACACAAAAATAATATGCAGTGATAAACATCGGTTGATGATTTGGATTGAATCATTTTTCGAAATCAAGAACCAATATATGTAGTGTTAATATCCCTAATGTCAGCCTAAGTGTCCCTAATATTGGCCGAAGGAAAGCATTTGCTGCCAATTTTTCATTAGCCATCAAAAAAATCCATTCAAAGTGTTGGTTGGTAATGCTATCTAACGTGAAGCTTTAGTGTGATAATTTATTAGCTAGAAAATGGTCTTAGCAGAGGGTAGGTAGACAGTTCCGTTAGAGCACGGCAGTATGAAAATTGAATAGAAGTTGAAAATGAGCGAAGGGCCATTAATGCCACAGTACAAGTCAAACGCACACTTCTTTGCCTAACCCGTGCGATGTACGTGGATATATGAAGTAGGGGAAATGTAGGTAATGTCGACCTACATGTCCCTAATTTGGGCCCATCGCTAAAAGTCTGTTATTTATCAATTTTATCTAGATGAACGCGTTATTGGGACGTTACTAATGGATATTTTTGGTTGCAATTGAAAATTTAGTTGATTGCTGAATTTATGTATGGGCCCAACTTAGGGACACTTAGGCCGACATTACCTGCATTTCCCCTATGTCTTCAAATCTACAGGCAAAAAAGTGTGCGCTTGACTTTGCTCATATACTGTCTGCGGCTGTAGAATAGTTCAGATGACGCATTGTTCTAAGAAAATTTAAAGAACAGGAGATTTAACGATGGGCCCAATCTTTAGATCGATAGGCCATCATTTGAAAATTTAAATAGGGAGAGTGGACTGTTTATCGATATAGTTTTTCCACTTACTTGCTACGGAAAATCCCAGCATGGTGATATAGTTCTACTTATTTTAGGGAGCACCCTTCCAGACCTCTGTGCATCACAATTCTTTCAAAACAATTGCTCCGATCACGCAGTGTGCACTGGTTTCAATCCTGATCATCTTTTTGATATGGATAAATGCTAAAACATTTCCCTATTCTTTTGATTTCATGACGTTTTTTGCTCCATGATAGCAAAGTTTATTGAAGTTTCGACTCTAGCCAACCAGCACTGCGCTCCGAAAAACACCGCTGATTTTCATTTTCTTTGGGAAAATATATGAATTTCCACCACCCCTCGAGATATGAAGAAGTGGAAAATGCAATGCCTTTCATGCCGATTCTCCGCTGGGAGAGTGTGTTTTTGTGCACTCCGAGACGACCGGGAGATTCAAACTTTTGCTCCATCCTTTTACGAGCGCGCTCCATTTCCCGTGCGCCGGCAGTATGATTTGTTTGTCATGTGCCGTCTCCGTTGCTCTTCTTGGTCTCACTGAGTGATTTCATTCTATTTTTTTTTCTTCAGAGCTGCAATCAGCCTGGTTGAAGTTTCGATAAAACATAACTCTCGTTGAACGAGGGAACGGATGGTGACGGCAACCGGCGACGATGAAAAAATTGGATATCTAAACTTACATTTAATATTTACAAATTGATTCTTAAATAATAGTTTTGATTTATTTGTGTACAGTTTCGCCGTTGAAATTGTTTTCTGCTCATGTTTCCCTTTTTCCTGATTTTTCGTTTTCCGTTTGGCAATGTTGATTTTTCTTCCTTTATTTGCCGAGTTGTGTTTATCTTTTGTGCCTTTGTTTTGATATATGCTCAAGAGGGAACAAACAAAATCAAATGGATTTTATTTCGGTTGGATGGCAGCAGATTTTACTATGCTCATATATTTTTCTAGCCTTTTGATTGGCTCGTAACAGCTACAGGAATACGAACAAAATAAATGCCGCTGGCTTAGAAAATGCATTTTCTGGGGAAAAATAATTTAAGCAAAATAACTCATCCATAGAGTTTGACCGATGGGAATTTATTCGCTGACAAAAGCCTCATTTTTAGTTATACAGGTCGGTTGCCTGCCGAGAACAATTGTTGCAATCAAATGTTGGTTTGTATTGATTTCGGATGAAAGTTTGCTACCGGGAAATCTCAGTGATTGTTCGGCATTGTTTCGATTTCGAATATTTTATTTATTGTATCTTGATCGGATAAATTATGTGCTTTTGTTTGAAATTTTTCGTCAAAGCTTGTGTGCTGTTGCATCAGAATCCAGTCCAGATCATTCAGCGCAAAATCTATAGCATTTTTGAGATTTTTTTTTTCAATTCAATTCGGTTTGACGCATGCCTATTCTGCAAATTGCTACAATAACAATCTTTATTGCCACCCCCAATGAAGCTAGCGTTCATCGAAAACATGAACAAGCAATAACCCATCATTTGATTGCATCAGGTGCGTTCATCGCGTTAATCAAGCTCGCAGAAAATATGCTCTATAACCAATTCAGCTAATGAATTCACGCAACCAGTGTATGTAAACAACCTACATTCCGTTTAGATTTTTTTTTTTATTTTTCGAAAATGGAAGAGAGCACCAAAAGGATTACTTGTTCTATTTAGTAGTATGACTGTTCCAGTTTCATTTAAATCTTCTTGCTCTTATCCGCTACTTATACGCTAAAGATCTCACCGCCTAGGTGTGTTTTTTCTTCTTTTACTATTGTATTGTTTGTTTTCATTAGCTAAGACAAATTTTACACGCTAATATTCGTTTAGTACTCACTTCCTTCTTGATATCTACACTGTTCCGAATGTACGTAAAAAAACATATAATAACTATATCATTTAACTACACCTACACACGACGACGAGTGATGACGACCCTCTCTCGGTACTGTCATCACCAGAGTACAAAAACCGGATAACAAAGCTCGAACCGAAAGAGTTACCCTTAACTAACGTCATCGTCCTCAATTTGTATTTTTGGTTCGTAAATATTGACTAACTTATCAAAACGTGGACCCCATGCGGTTAAAAAGCTATACTCATGGGGTTCATCATCAGTACCTGGAGAAGGGAAGGAACGGTTGTAGGAGATCAATTCAAATCGGACCATCAACGTTGCTGGTTTTAGGACTTTAGTATTGTGATCGACTCGGTTGGGAGAAAGGTGATGGATTTGGGTGATTTTTTAGATTTACCTGACTGTAAGGAACTTAGTGAGCCAGACGTACTCCCACAACCTTCGTAGGCGTAATTTCGCAGGTCGTCGAAGGGCCCGGATGCGGGATCGACGTCCACCCTTCGTTTGCGATCGTCCAGGAACACGTCGACCTTGGTGAGGACCTGGTCGGACACGACGGCAATATCGGGACCTGGGTGATGGCATAGGAAGCCGCTTTTTAAGTTGGTACGTACAGATATCGGGGAGGTATTTTGGGATTCCAAGCCATGCGAGATTTTAGGGGATATGGAATGATCGAAACAAGAAAATGACAGGTCGAGAGATAAATGAGAGAATGAAAAACGAAACGGAAAAATAACAAAAAGATTCCAGTGAATCTCCCATTTCGGTGTTGGTGGATCTCAAGAATACTTACGTACGGGAGGTGCCTTGTGCTGCACCAGTTCCGGCAGCGGTCCTATGGGAATCTTGAGGGTTTTCATATCGAACGCGGTCATGTCGTTTTCGCCGCCACCTTCGTCACAGTAGTTGATGATGTTTTCACGGATGTCGTCCTTCGTTGCAGGTTTCTTGTTGAAGTTGGCCGATCGGCGGCGGGAACAGGAAAAATAAAGGAATAATAGAACTGTACGAATTGAAAAAAAAAACAACAACAACAGCTTTAGTTTGATCATTTCGAGAGAGGATTTTCAAAGCTACTTACTGATAATCAGCAAAAGACATGTGATTACAGCAGCCAAGGCACTTGTGCTGAATTTCAACGCTTGCCGTTCCTTGAGGAACTCGCAGCTTTCGCCCCAGTATGAGTCCGGACAGATGCACTTGTACTTGAACCGGGGCTCCTGGTTGATGCAGGTTCCTCCGTTCAGACACGGATAGTCCAGACACTCGTTCCGATCGATGCAGGTTTTGCCCTCCGGTGAGATCATCATGCCGTCACCGCAACTGTCAAACGGAAGATTGGTGGTTAGATATATGCTATTCTAATCTTTGTGAGTAGAGGCTCGGAAAGATAGGTACAAACTTCTATTTCATTGTTGAATTTGTGCCCTGAGGTCTCGGCTGGTACACGATGATTCTATTTATGAATTTTGACGTAGGACTATACTGGGGGTCACATTTAAAAAAAATCAAAATTCATACATGCAATGGAAAATCCCAAACACGGACGTAGCGATAGAGCGCAAATCGAACATACGACACAAAGCGAGCTCACCGCTCGGTTGACCGGTCACCATTTCACCAATGAATCGATGGGAGGAGAAAAGCAGCGGTAATAAAATCGCTTGTCATATCGTTTTCTTCGTCATTTATTTTCAAGCAACGGACGGATAAGCGTCGGACACGACATATGAGTGGAACAGCACGCATCGCACCAATACGAAGACGACGACTTCCCGCAAAAGGCAGTATGACTGGGCCACCGTCATCCGATCGGCATCGAGTTGCACTGATGTGAAAGAGTCAAGTAGCGCTAGTTGTTCTTTCACAACAATCCAATTCAATGCTGGTCGGAGCACGTCTTGGTCTGGTGTGAATGCTGGTAAATACTTGCAACTAGGAACGCTCTGACGAAAAATACTCCAAAAGGGAGGGGCCTTAGCTATTCTGCAAGTATATAACAGACTGTAATTCAGTGAACGTGATCAGTTGTTCCATTAGTTGTGGGGACAGACGTCACAATTAATTTGAAATACCTAGAAAGTGGACGCGGACATCCGAATGAGAAGCATTACCAACGACATGCTTCGAACGTTACACAGCTGAGTTTGACTACAATGTTCACCTGCGCAGTGAGATATCAAAGCGCACCAGTTTGTTCACTTCGATCCAAAATAGCAGTTTCGTTTACGATGAGGATGGTCATCACAAATTTGGGAGGACCCTGAAGGACGTGGACATCGGTGGCTCTCTGAGTAGCTTCACCATCTTTCGGACGTTCCACTGCAGTCGTTCCGTTAGACTGACTACAACATTGATCACCTGCAACATTTCAACCGCTGTGCGATGGTGTAAGCACGGCATTCCGAAAGCACCAGCTTGTAAATCTTTTGGATCCCAAATAGCCTTTTTGAGGTACTACATTTTTTCGCTATAGTATTTCTTTTAAGATCTCTAGATGGTGGGTAAAACAGGTTCACAAAATTGAAATATTTTTTAACCATTGAGAGAAATAACAGCAAAGAATCATCAATCAATGTCAATAGCGGAAAATCTCTATCAGCTTTGGGTCATTGAGTATCGGATTAAAAGAACTAAAGGCTCAACATATTTGTTCCGTCCTGTAGTGACCCCATGCTATCCGCACATATGTTGCATCAACTATTCTGTAATATATGGGACACCGCGACTTTTCCGGCCGACTGGATGCAGGGCATCTTAGTGAATGTCCCAAAGAAGGGGGATCTGACTGTGTGCGGCAATTGGCGAGGCATCATGTTACTGTGTATTCTTCTCAAAGTTCTGTGCAAAGTTATCCTGAATCGGATACAGGAGAAGATCGACGCGACTCTCCGACGGCAGCAGGCAGGATTCCATGTTGTCACGCTCCGCATCATCCTGGAGCAGGTCAATGAATTCCAAGAGTCCCTTTATTTGGTATTCATTGACTACGAAAAAGCTTTCGACCGTCTCAATCACGATAATCTGTGAGGCACCCTGAGACGCAAGGGAGTCCCGGATAAAATCGTCAACCTCATCGAAGCGCAATATGAGGCTTTCACGTGCAGAGTTCTGCATAACGGAGCCTTGTCCGACCCCATCCGGGTAGTCGCTGGTGTGAGACAAGGATGCATACTATCAACGCTACTGTTTCTCATCGTAATCGACGAGATCATGGTAGGTGCAATTGACCGTGTACCGAACCGTGGGCTGCTTTGGCAGCCTATCACCATGGAGCATCTCAACGACTTCGATTTGGCTGATGATGTTGCTCTTCTAGCACAACGGCACTCTGATATGCAAATTAAGCTCAATGACCTAGCCGAACGCTCCTCTGCGGCGGGTCTCACCATCAACGTCAACAAGACCAAATCGTTGGATATCAACACGGGCAACCCTTCCAACTTTACGGTAGCGGGGCAAGCAGTGGAGAAGGTCGAAAGTTTCCAATATCTTGGCAGCCAAATAGCGTCAAACGGCGGGACCAAGAGCGACATAGGTGCACGAATCAAGAAGGCTAGGGCTGCCTTTGCGAGTTTACGAAACGTATGGAGGTCCAACCAGATAATTCAACGCACCAAAATCCGAATTTTCAACTCGAACGTGAAATCTGTGTTATACGCCAGCGAGACGTGGTGTGTATCGGCGGAGAACACTCAAAAGCTGCAGGTGTTCATCAACCGATGCCTGCGGTATATTATTCGTGCCTGGTGGCCTCACAACTGGATCTCGAATGCCGAGCTCCATCGTCGATGTCATCAGAAGCCGATAGCAACAGAAATTCGAGAGCGAAAGTGGAGGTGGATCGGCCACACACTTCGACGGGGCGGAAACGAAATCTGCAAGCATACGCTGGATTGGAATCCGGCAGGACATCGCAGCAGAGGCAGACCCAGGGACTCATGGCGGCGGAGCCTCAATAAGGAAATTAAGCAAGTCGATACCCAAGCAACACACATGTTATATAACAGTTTACATAACCTTTATATAACTGAATTTGGTTGTAAAGAAGTTTACTCAACATAATTGCATGAAAATGTGTTACTTGGGTAGGAATCTGACCTGGGCCCAAGGCAAAAACGAGCAGCCGCCCAGGATGGAAGTCTTTCACGTTGGCCCTTTGCACCGCTGGGGGTGCACAGGACCCTTAAGTAAGTAAGTAAGTAGTGGTCCTACGTCAAGCTTCCGTTCGTGTCCATAGGCACAGATGCTTATAGCGATGGGAGAGCGATTGATTTTAAGCGTATGTGTGAAACATTAGAAGGCCGGCTAGTTAAAAATCATTCGGATGAGATCCTTTTCATTTATTCATTTAAATAAAGCGGCAGCCATTTTGCCAACTGAATAGTAGATCGTTGGTTCAAGACGTGTTGATTGCAACCTTCTCAAGAGTAGATGTTGTCATCGTCGATGAGGTCACTGCTCGATGGAAACATTTCAACAACAAGTTGAACGGAAACATGATCGTAATAAAACAAGAGCTCGGTGGCCTAGTGGTAACCGATTTTGCTTACTGAACACTCCGCGGTATTGAATCGTTGGGATATAAATTCAGCTTATTGCGCTGCAATCCCAACCCTTTTATCCAACATCCCAGTGATTTCTCGTGCAAGTGCAGAGGTGTTCCCGGCTTTTATTAAAGCGAGATTTACGTCAACATATTCGTACCCATGTCTTTCTTGACCAGCATTCAGACGTGTCCGCCGCTGGTACTGCCCAGCTTTAGATCACCAGTTTTTACACATTGAGGGTGATTTCTAGTCCCAAGCAACGCCTATTGATTCTCTGTGTATCTGGCTGATCAGCTGAACTGGCAATAACGGAGTTGTATTCTTGGGCGATCAATCATGCTCATGCTCATACTCATGTTATAAATACAATTGTTGTCCGTGTTTGATGAAATTGGTGGCAAACGAAAGTTATATGCACCTAATTTGTTTGATCAAATGGGCGTGGAAAGATTTCAAAAAGGGAGACCTGCTTTGATAAACATTTCCTAGTGCAAAAATCTAGAAAAAATTCGTAACCTCGAAGGTGTACCACAACTATTTCTCAAAAATTTTAAAAAAATTCCTTCAAGTCAAGAATTTAAACTTTTCACTAAATTTGAAACATTGTAATTTTACCTGAGCCTGAGATCTAAAATATTTTAACTGGCAAAGAGTTTCAAAAATATGTTTTAGATCAAATAAAAAATCAAAGATTAGAAACCAAATAAAACAAGCCTCAAATAAATGATACAGTTTAATGACCCGATTTTGTCAGCCGCATTTTTGAAAATCGGTTCTAATGTTCTACGAAGACCATGCGTTTTTTCAGTGGCCTTATTGTATCAAAACAGTGTTTTCTACCCGGGATATACCGGGGAATCTTTTCCGAGTAAGAGATGAACTAGCCTAAGGCTAAAAATCTCTTAAATAAAGTCTAAAAAAAAAAAATCTTTTCCGAGGAATTTACCAAAACTAACATTACTCGTTTCCGAGAAACACGTTTTTTGTACAGACACCATGCTAAACATTAATTTTTTCTAAAAAAAATAGGCAGAATCTATCCGTTGAATGAAACTTCCGGGAAGAGTCGATAGCATTTTTCGGGGAAACCAGGCACTTTTAGGGGAATCAAGATGGACTTTTGAAGACATCGCGGAGAAGTCGAATGAGTTTTTCGGACGAAGTCAAATAGTTAAGCAAAATTCAAGGAAGTCAGAAGACGCTTCCAGAGGCCAGAAGATTCTTAAAGGAACGTTGGAAGAAGTCTCCGAATGAAATTGCGTTAAACTTCCTAGGAAAGTAGGAAGAACTTTTCGTGGGAAGTCACAAGTTGCCTCCGGGCAAACTTGGTAGAAACTTCTGGGGAAATCAGATGAACCTCTCCAGAGAAACCAAAGGAAACTTCGGAAGCAATCCAACATAAATTTCCAGAGGAAGTTCAAGCTTTGAAAAAACTTCCCATGGAAGTCGGAAGACACTTCAAAAGAAAGTCACAAGGACTTCTGGTGATTTGGAAGAAAGTTCCTGGAGAGGTCAGAAGATAAGAGCAATCTTCTTGTGAAATAGGATGCAATTTCCACTTCCAGAGGAAGCCAACTTCTTGGGGTAGTTGGTAAAAACTTTTGTGAAAGATGGAAGAATCTTCCAGGGCAAGTTAGAAGAAATTTCCAGGAGATGTTAAAGAAACCTTCGTACAAAGTCGGACGAAGTCTCAATTCTTATCAAACCTAGTAGCTATCAAAAAGATAAGTCCAACTAGCGTTTCCACTTATCGGCCATTTTTGGAGAATACCCGAGAATCGGATTTTCCGGTGACCAGCTTTAATTTTTGACATTTTATCTGTTCACCGGAAAACTCGATTCTTGGGAATTCTTCAAAAATTGTCGAGAAGCGGAAACGCTAGTTAGAACAGACTTCCAGAAAAAGTTGAAAGGAATTTTTGGAAGCCAGAAGACAAAGGCAGGGAAAGCTGCAAGAAACTGTCAGGAGAATTCAGAAGAGTCTTCCTTGGGCCAGAAATTAGAAAGAACTCTTTCAAAATCCATGTCTCTGATCCTGAAAAAAGAAATTTCCAGCTTGCAGTTCCATTTTGATAGTTTTCAAATTCAGATGTTCAGTCCGTGTTTGGATTCAACCCTTTTTACTTTTCATCAAATTAAATTAATTTTATTGAAATCTAGATGTTCCTAATGATCGAGAGATTTTCACAAAAATCATCGTGTCGCTAGAGCACCTCGCATTTAATGATATTTTCAACCGGCAATACTTACGTGCACTCGTATTTGTTCCACAGATCGACGCACTCGAACGGCTCGGGACAGTACGCATTCTGGCACGGATTGTTGGACGAACAGTACCGCTCGATATTCTTCGCCATCGTTGCTTGGCCCCACTGTGTACCGTTGGTCGCCGGAGGCAGAGGAAGAGTTTTACCGTCCAACCTGTTGAAAATAACCACTCTCTTCATAAATCGATTCCCACCAATGCTACCCTCAATCATCACCCACCTGATATCATCTATGCAGCTCTTCTGGTAGTCTGCTTGTACGTCAAAAGTCTTCACTCCGGTGTACTCTGGTTTGCCACCGGCGTAGACACCTTCCTGCTTATCCACCGACAGCCACTGGTGTCCGTCGAACGAAAAACTCTGGTTAAAATTGGCCCCTTCGCCTCCATCCAGCTCCAATATGGCCGCCGAACCATACCGCTGAATCTTCACCACATGCCACTGACCGTCATTCACCTGGACGGCATTCAGCGATACATCGCGTTCTTCAACCTGACCCGAATTCAAACTGTACCGAAAAATCAAGCTTGCTTCCTTCAGCTCTATTATCCCGTACTCTCGCATGTGTTGATCGCTGATACGAAACAGTTCCCCGAACGACTCCCGCGTTCGAAAGCGCATCTGAATTCTAGTCGTAAATTTATCCGGTTCAAAACTCAACGCGTACTTCACATAGCTTAGAGTTTTGAAGGTGGTTGGTGTCGTCGGTAGACTGCAGTAAGTTCCCGACCATCCCGGATTGCACTCGCACTTGGCGTCGTCATAGTTTCCTATGCATTTACCATGCTCCAAGCACTTGGCAACCTGTTGATTCAGATCACACACCTCCTGCGTAAAAACACATCCAGGCATTGTACTTTTGGTGAGACCTGGGTGGGATAGATCGTAGAGGATTCCATTGTGCTTAAAGTTTCGTATGCAGCCTTCGAAACCCATTGCCATTGGCATGTATTGCCAGCGATTGTAGGTGTAGTCGAACTTTTCCCGGAAAACGCCTCCAATCTGCAGAGGAGTGTTCACATTCAGATATTCATTGAATTGCGGAACGCGTCCGATGGCTTGGCAGGTGTGATCAACAAACTCCACTATATTTCCATCATCGGCTTCCGTTATGACGGCTGTCTTGCAGTAATCCACTACCATCTTAACACGGTCCGTATCCCAAAATAAGTCGATCCTATGCCAATCACCATCGTTCAAGGGATTCTTGGTCTGTATTCTTAGCTCCAGCGTTCCTGATCCGTAATCGATCAGGAATCTTGGATATCCTTGTTCCAATTCCAATGCAATGAAATCGGATTGCTGCTTTTCATCGTTGTCGTTCGGAGGAACTATCGGACCATTGTAGAAGATTAATCCTTCCGCTTTCGTCGTGATGAATTCCACGCCAATGTGAGACTTATCGCACATATCCAGCGCGGGATACCAGGCCCATCCATTACCACGAAAACTCCGAACGGTTTGCTGACACCGTGGACCACTGTATCCGGGAGGGCATGAGCAACGTACTCCGGATTTTGTTTCCGAACATTTTCCGCCATTCAGACACGGGTGTAATTTACAGCTTTGCTGTTGCTCGTATTCCCGAGCGTTACATATGCATTTAGCTGTGGATTTGATTTGAACTCCGACTAGAGCCGTTTTATTGGCATTCACGACAGCAGGAGTCATCTGTACTTCCATTAGGTGCGTACATGATCCGTTGCACTCACCGTTCTCCGCTAGACACTCATCTATGTTGACCATGGTAATGTTGACTCCTACTGTTTGTTCAATAACTTCCTTGTGCAGCAGCACAACTCCATTCAATTGGACTGCTTTGAAATAGTAAGCACTTCGTGCGGAAAACCTCACATCTGTGACAGGTGGACTTTTTGTCTTCATCTGCACGCTAAACACGTCTACGTTCTTTTTATCGATGTTCAGCAACTCCGCCAACTTGTCTCTGAAACGCTCCAATTTGCTCTTGAATATGTTCTGTGTTCGGTAGTCCCAGATTCGGATAAAATCTTCGTCCGTTATGCCAATGAGGCGAATGGATCCCGAGTTGACGATTGCCTCGTAGGAAATGTGCTTCACCAGCACCGACATGTTGGCGTACGATTCTTGCGCATGCTTCCGATCGTAGATCTTGAAGCGCAGTTTGTAGCGTCCTTCGCGAGCACCTCGTCTCATTGTTACAATTCCTGACGTGTCATCCAACTTGAACCTGGGATTTTCCAGCTCGTCCCAGTAGAACAGCTTATCGGATGTATCCCAATCATCCAAATCGTTCACAAATACCCTGCCAATTTGGGTATCCGGTGCCTGACCTTGGTAGTTGTACACTATCACCTCCTTCGAACCAGGTTGCATTATATTATCGTTGACATCACCGATCGTCACCGTTAGGGTGCTGGTTCCCGTTTGTGGTGGATTGCCCGAATCCTTGATCACGATCGGTATCTCGTATTGTTTTCTATACTCGCGATCGAACGACCTCATCGAAGACACGACCGCCATACCGTCACCCTTGTTGTTCTGCTCTACCTTGAAGGACGTCCGGATAACGTCATCCGCATCTGGGTCCATCCGGAACTGGAATGGAGGTCCATTCCCCATCTTTCGGTCGTCTTGATCAATAGCTGATATTTCGATGATTTTCGACGCCGGTGAATTTTCCAGCAGTATTGGTTTGTACTGTTCAGCAAATACCGGAGCATTATCATTGACGTCCTTGACTTCAACCGTCAGGGTTGCAGTAGCTGTCCTTGGGGGAACACCATCGTCGACGGCCAATATCTCCAGATTATATCTGGAAGTTGATTCCCGATCCAGTTGCCGTTGAATAGTAACCGTTCCTTCGTCACTGATCGCAAATTGGCGCTTCCGATCTGTTGATCGATTTATTATGTAGGTGATCTTACTCTTTCCTGCCTTATCGTTATCGATGGCTTTGAAACTGACCAAGGTCTTGCCGACCTCATCACTCTCGGAAGCGTGCGCCTCCATGTGTGGCCGTCGAAACCGTGGAGTGTTGTCGTTGATGTCTTTTAGCTTCACAATCACCCACGAGTGATCAACGTGGTACTTGTCCGTATCGTTGATACCTTCGTTGTCTGTTACTTGGATCCGAAACCGGAATCCGTTGATCTGCATCGGATCTTCAAAGTCCAGTGGTTGAACAACCCGCAAACTTCCAGTTCCATCGTTGTTTTTGATCATGGCGAACTTGTCCGCTCCGTAGCCACTGCTTTCGATGATTTTGTACTGGAAGTTGTTGATCTCGTCATCGTCGTTGACCGTCACCGTGAGTATCGGTGCCTCTGGAAGTATGTTTCCATCCGTTTCTTCTACCTCCACAAACCACTCATCTTTGGTGAAATGTGGAGGCATGTCGTTTAAATCTTTGACTTTAATCGAAGCGGTTCCCGTCCCCTTGAGACCACCTCCATCGGTTGCCACAATTTGCAGCGAGTAATCCGGAGTCTTCTCTCGATCCAGACAGCATACCGCCGTCGTTATGACGCCCGTATCCGGGTTGATATCAAAAATGGGCAGTCCCGATTCCTCTTCGATTGCATTCTTCTCGATTGAATATACGATTTTCGCATGCGTTCCCTCATCCACGTCGTCGTGGTCCTGCGCTTTTATTGTCATCACATGCATTCCGACCGTCCCATTTTCGGTCACATTACCGTAGTAGATCCCCTGCGGGAACGACGGTGCGTTATCGTTTATGTCTTTCAGCTTGATTTGAACCTCGGTAAACCCGACCAGTCCCTCGCCGCCCTCGTCCTGCGCGAAGACGGTAAACTTCCACAACGGTCGCCCATGGGGCGGATCACGATTGAGCGGCTGTTCGTCGGTGGAATGAAAAATTCAATTAGTTGCCACCGTGGGCAGGATTTATTTGGCGCTGAAGCCAATAGCAATTTACCTTTAAAACAAATATTTCCCCCGTTGCTTTGTTGATGTCGAAGTTACTCTCCGAGGGATTTTCGGCGTCGATTCCGGGCCCGGTTAGAAAATATATTATGTTGTTGGGTCGTTCCACATCGGCGTCCGATGCTGTGACCTGTGAAATGAGAAATTGGGAGAAATTAGTGGGTGGATGTGGTTAATGTGCTTAACGTGTGGGGTATCAGTTTCATGTGGTGGCTATTGATGTATTCTTCGAATTGTATTGGCAGCATATCATCATTTTATGATTTTGCTGAGGGAGGATCAAAGTTCGTGGAATCAAGAAGTGAAATATGGTTTCTACTGTAAACCTATGAAGTGCTGTTTCGTCTATTGACTGGTATATATTATAGAAGGTAATTATTTGCTCCTTAAATATGTTTACCTAATACCGTCAGGGTCAAAATTGTAATGTTAAGAGAGCAAGTCTATTAAAATGTGTGGACAAGACCAGGAGAACCGGGCATCATAAAGGACAATATTACTTAAGTAATATGGACTTGAAAATTGTGGATCCTTTCAAGAGCAGAGAACTAAGATAGAAGCAAAGTTCAAAGGTTTGAATATTTCGAGGATGAGCCAAAGATAAGCCCCAGATTCATAAATTTTACATTTACAGGAATTGTATACATTGAATGCTGAACAACATATGATACCATCGCCTTTGACTTCTCCCCATTTATTGGGGCATCTTCCTGTTAGATGGCTCTTTTTCTAACCAATTGGCTGATTAAGTTGTTGGAAGGAGATTCTTAACTGTCCCAAGAAAATGAATATTGCCTATCAATCCACCCATTCGTTTTTGGCCCTTCATACAGCTATTAACTGATGACAATCAGCGGTTATTAAGCTTGATCAAGTTCAACAGAGAGGAGAGCCCACAGCTATCGGACTAAAGGGTGATACGGTCAAAATTTGGTCAAGGGAAAACGCGTGTAAATCGGTGAAATCGTTTATTTAAAAAATCAAATTAAATTTCTTTTTCAAGTTCAATTAGTATAAAATTCAGGAAAAATATTCAGTTAGGCTTCCGCTTTTCCAAATCCGAATTGCCGGGCCTTACGTTTGACCCCTGCCATCAGATTTTGTACAGCCACCTTGTCCACCTTCTTCGCCGCAGAAAGCCAGTTTGCCTTGAACTGCTGCTCGCCCTTAGCAGTTTTTTTGGTCTTCTTTAGGTTCCGCTTGACAATAGCCCAGTATTTCTCAATTGGGCGGAGCTCTGGCGTGTTGGGAGGGTTCTTGTCCTTGGGAACCACCTGCACGTTGTTGGCGGCGTACCACTCCATGGCCTTTTTACCGTAATGGCAAGATGCCAAATCCGGCCAAAACAGTACGGAACAACCGTGTTTCTTCAGGAAAGGCAGCAGACGTTTATTCAAACACTCTTTCACGTAAATTTCTTGGTTGACAGTCCCGGAAGCTATGAAAATGCTGCTTTTCAAGCCACAGGTACAGATGGCTTGCCAAACCAGATATTTCTTTGCGAACTTTGACAGTTTCATGTGCTTGAAAACATCTGCTACCTTTCCCCTTCCTTTTGCCGTATAAAACTCCTGTCCCGGAAGCTGCTTGTAGTCGGCTTTGACGTAGGTTTCGTCGTCCATTACCACGCAGTCAAACTTCGTCAGCATCGTCGTGTACAGCCTCCGGGATCGCGCTTTGGCCGTCGTATTTTGTTTATCATCGCGATTTGGAGTCACTACCTTCTTGTGAGTCGATAGTCCGGCTCGTTTTTTGGCTCGATGCACGGTTGTAGACGATACACCCAGCTTATTTGCGGCATCTCGGAGAGAGAGGTTAGGGTTTCGCTTGAAACTACCGGCAACTCTCTTTGTCGTCTCAGCGGCTTCCGGTTTTCGATTTCCCCCCGATCCAGACTTCCTGGCTGTCGACAAACGTTCCCCAAACACTTTAATTACATTTGTAACGGTTGATTTGGCAACTTTTAGCGATTTTGCCAACTTTGCGTGCGAGTAGCTCGGATTTTCGCGATGCGCGAGCAAAATTTTGATACGCTGCTCTTCTTGCTTGGACGGCATTTTGACAACTGAAGAGTGAATTCCAAAATCAAAATAGGAGCAACATTCTACACACACACACCTTCAAAATGAGGGGTGTTCAGGTTTTTTAAATGCAAAATTGAAAGAAATACGTCAAGTTGATATTGACCAAATTTTGACCGTATCACCCTTTATCCTTAAATTCTCCTGAAATTCTTGGTACTGCCGTGAAATAAATGGAATCGCCCTAAAAATCCTTTTAACTTTCCTGATGTTCTCTGGGTTCCTGAATATTTCTAGAAATCTCTGAACTATTTTGAAATTTTCTGAACTTTTTTAGGCCTTATGAAATTTTCCTTTTTTTCATGGAACTGTTCTGAATTTATCCTTACTTACGCTAACATAATTTATGCTTTCGCTCAAAACTTTCCCAAATGTCAGGACTTTCCTGGAACATCCCTGAAATTATTGGAACTGCCTGTAAGATCTCTCTACTTCCTCAATGATCTTTGTACTTGGAATCTACAATTTTCTTTAAGTGGGGGCGACCCCGGTGTAGTGGTTAACATCCATACCTCTCACGCCAAAGTCACGAGTTCAAATCTCACCCCCGGACAAGTCACAAATGACCCAAGAGTGTTAAAGTGACTAAAACAAAAAAAATCTTTAAGTTTTCTCTACATCTCTGAAGTTTTTTTTTGTTGATGTTCTATGGGTATTCCAGAGTTCATAGAACTTCTTAAAAGTTTATGTTGTGTTCTTGAAGCAAATGGAACCGCCTTGAATTGCTTTAAGCTCCAGAATTTATCAGAACTTCCCTTGTGTTCTCACAGTGTGTTTATAAAACTTCCTTGCTAGCAATTATAACCATTTCCGGTAATTCCTCAGATGTCTCTCAAAGTACCAATATGATGGACAGAGTTGGTTGGAAATGCTATCTAACATGCAGCTTTAGTGTGATAATTTATTATCTAGAGAATGATATTAGAAGAAGGTAGGTGGATAGTTCCGTTAGAGTACGGCAGTATGAAAATTGAATAGAAGTTGAAAATGAACGATGGGCCATTAATTCGACAGTTCAAAGTCAAACGCACACCTTTTACCTAACCCGTACGATGTACGCGGAGATTTGAAGTATGTCTTCAAATCTACTGGCAAAAAGTGTGCGTCCGCCTTTTTTAATTACTGTCTGCGGCTGTGGAATAGTTCTAGCGACGTTTCAGCATTAGCTAAAACCCCACGTTGCCGAAAGCATTTCCAGTCGATGGTGTGTTATAATGCAATTCTTCTTTACCCAACTGTTTGCCTGTAGGTTTGAAGACATACTTCAAATCTCCACGTGCATCGTACGGGTTAGGCAAAAGGTGTGCGCTTCACTTTGTACTGTCGCATTAATGGCCCTTCGCTCATTTTCAACTTCTATTCAATTTTCATACTGCCGTACTCTAACGGAACTATCCACCTACCCTCTTCTAAGATCATTCTCTAGGTTATTAATTATCACACTAAAGCTTCATGTTAGATAGCATTTCTCAAACCAACTCTGAAAATAGCTTCGCGTATGAAGTAACATAAAAACACTTTGAATGTACCAATGTGACTTTTGTAGTTAATGGGACTACCGTGATGATCTAGAATGGACCTAAAGATCTCCAAATCTCTCTGAATTTCGATGGACTTCCATGAACTTCTGAGAATTCCTGAAAGGTGTCTGAAAGTTTTCGTAAGCTGACTTACCGTCTCTGAAATTATATGGACTATACTTTAATTTTCGGAAATTCTTGGATATTCCCGATATTCTTCTGAAATTAAAAAAAAAATGGTCGTTGAGTTCTAGAAATCTACCTGCTGTTCAGTTCTCGCTATTTTCCTGATATTCATGAAACTGCCTTGACATTTTCAAAACTGCTCCAAAGTTCACGTTGCTTCCCTAAAGATCTTTAAGTTTGTAATTAAAATTTTGTCAGCAACTGTAAAGTTCTTGCAATCTTCTTGAAGTTATTGGAGTTGCCCTGAAGCTCTTTGATATTCGATTAAGTGATTTTTTGTGAAATCTTATGGTCCCATATTTTGCTATCAAAACTTACACAGATGCACATTTAATTTTCACCGTAGCTCTAGACGTTCTTGATAGTATCGGATCTATTTGGAAGTTTTCAGATCATCCTTAAAAATTCTGTTATTTTTCTGATGTCAATGAAACTGCGATGGATACATTTCAAGCTAAAATATTTTTACATATTTGAATTATAATGTCCCATTTTTTTATTTGGTGGTGTTTCTTTTCAATATGATAATTGACACCATCTTCAACCAAAGGTGGCACAGGCTAAATGGAGGAGGAGCTAATGTAGATCGATATTTTTGCGCCCAGTATATATTTATTAAAAACAATAATCGGTTTACGGAGCTAGTAACTCATGGAGTAACCATGAGTATCCAGCATGACAGACCTGATAGAAGAATATTGATTCCGAGAATCTACGGAATTTTCCGCAGAAATGACATCACGGTAATCCATACGAATGGCATAAAAGTTAATTTGATCCGTATGTTTTTGTAATCTAGCTCTGGACGAGATTCACACGGACGAAAAATTCAGGTTTTCACGGGTTGAAACTGGGTTCATTCTGAATTATTACCCAATTCTAATGGAATCAAATACTGGTATTTTTTGAACCCCCAGACAGACCTCTTCCACTCTGGTTTAGTCCCAGTTTTGCACTTATAAACGCATTCGTTCATCGAAATCTTTTCATTCAATGTCATTCACATCACATCGAACATGCAAGCCCTCAAAGCTGCAGCAGCCCCAAACAAACTGAGTAGTGTATAATAGGATCCATCGAATCCATCATCGTTGCATAGCTCGGAATCTCCCAAAAGATCGGAAAGTCTCCATTACCTTCTCTTGTCCATGCAGGGCAAGATATGGCCTCTGCCTCCCCGGGGGTCCTTTCAGTGCAGCTGACAGAAGCAGCTAGGAAAAAATATATATCTGCCCCTCGTATCTGCATAGTAACATAACGTACAGGATCCCTATAGCAGGGAAGCATGGGAGCCACAGCATTTGCCAGAGCTTTTCCGAATGGGTTTTGCCAGCTACTTGTAA